AGAGACTCAGAAAAGTTATTGACCTTGGAGCCTGCTTTTATAACATTTGTTGCCAGATGAGGAGATTAAAAAAAAAAAAAAAAAAAAAGGAAAGGATTTAAAAAAAGTCACTTGTAAGGGCTACGATGTGCACGGACAGCTGGATAACTATCTGCACTGATATTACCACACATTTCGTGGGTCCTTTTATGTGGCTACTTGCAAAATGTGTGAGGAATGGAAGCCTTGACTCGCCCTTTTCATCACTGATGCCGTTTGTTGTTGCTTCCTGCCTTTTTTTCTTCCTTGAGGTGTCACCCCAGCAGTACAAAATGACATAGGGAAAAATAAAAGCATCTCTTTTTCATAGTTGGGTTATAGTAACAGATGGTCATGTTCGCTCGGCAAAGACAAATAGCTCAAGTGATAAATACCGCAGGTTTGAGAGGTGGAGGAGAAAGGTTTTTGCCAGGATCCCCATTCGTAGCTGGCTCTGGAAAGAGAGCAATCTGCTTTTACAGGTTCCAGCCCCCACCAAGGAGGGGCAGTGGAATTCCAGTGCTGGAAGGAAGGTGGCACCAAAAGAGAGGGGAAGAGGCTGCTGGGATACACGTTTCATCACCCCGCGGAAGGAGGGTTCCCGCTCACCCCCACTCAGCTCCTCCGTCTAATCTCCCACCAAGTCCTGTCAGGTGCATTTCCTAAGTTTCTGTCTGTCTCTCTCCTCTTCCACCATTTATTCGGGCCTCCGTTATCTCTTGCCTATGTTACTTCTTTTTAAAAAAAAAATTTTTTTTTAATTTACCGGTTCTTTATTGTCTTGATTTTAGTACTGAAATGTTCAAGACAATATCCACAGGATTTAAGTAAGCACAAGATAAACCGCTAAACCTAAATTATATATTTTTCTAAATCTGTTCTAAAGACAATACTTCTTGTTCAGCTTTATTGAGGTATAATTGACAAAATTGCAAGACAATTAAATGTACGTTGTGATGATTTGATATACCTATGCATTGTGAAAGATCCCCCCATTTATTAGCACAGCCATCACCTCACATATTTACCTTTTTTGTGTGTGAGCACATTTAAGTTCTACTCAGCACATTTCAATATGCAATACAATTATCCACTATAGCCATACATTATACATTAGATATTCAGACCTCATTCATCTTATACCCGTACCCTTTTACCTCTCTATTTCTCCAACCTCCAGCCCCTGGCAACAACTTTCTACTACATTCTACTGTTTCTGTGAATTTTACTCATTTTTTTCTAGATTCCATGTGTAACTGATACCACGCAGTATTGACCTTTCTCTGTCTGGCTTATTTCACTTATCATCCATGCCCTCAAATTCCATCCATGTTGTTGCAGATGGCAGGATTTCCTTATTTCTCATGACTGGATAATACTCCATTATGATGAATATTCCATTGATATGTGTTCATATATATACATATATATATATATATATATATATGCAGTTCTATATATCATACAGTTACATATATATCATATCTTCCTTATCCATTTGTCCATATCTTCTTTATCCATTGCTTAGGTTTTTCCATATCGTAGCTATTGTGAAAAATGCAATGAACGTGGCAGTCAGATATCTCTTCAGTATTTTGTTTTCGTTTCCTTTGGGTATATACCCACAGGTGGGAATCCTGGGTCACGTCTATGTTATACCAATAGCCTCCCAATACTTCCCTCCACTTTGCAACTTCTGCCTTCCTTTCTAATAACTATGTTGCTGGCAGCAACATCTTTCTAAAACACAAATCTCGTTTGAAACCCAGTGAAGGATCCCTGTTGCATTCAGTCTACAAACTAAGTTCCGAAATTCAGCATGAATAATCTCCAGGAATCAGCCCCTTCCTAGTGTGGGACTTCATCGCTGCTTGCAAAAGACAGGTGGATTCTCAAAGAGGGTAGTTGGTTAATTATTCAAAGCTGTGGAAGCAAGCTCAAAGTGAGGCTCACAGGGAGGAAATGCTGAATAGGGTTTTGATAGGTGAGCAGAGGCAAGGAAAGTTACTCCAGTAAGAGCAAACCAGAAGGAGAAAGCATAGGGCTTGGATAATTTAGAACTTCATGAAAACATCAGTTTTTGAACAGAAGTATGGGCATGTGTGATTTCCACCTGTGTGCTTTCATCATTAATAATTGTAATATGTTATAATTATTTGCTATGTGACAATTTCTCCCTTACTTGGGGGCTTCCTGGGGAAAATAGGCAGTCTTCATTCATCATCATTTATCCACAGAGACCCTTATGAGTTCCCTGAGCAACAATGCTAGTAGCTAATGTTTATGGAGAGTTGCTACGAGCCAGGAATTGTGTTAAGGCCTCCTTTCAGTGACAGCATAGGAGGAGTCTTTATGATTCCAAGTGGCTCATCAAATGGCATATGATCCATCTGCTGATTCAAAAATAATGGGGACATCAGACTGTGTCCTTAAAGCATTGACTGTTGAGGATTTGAGATGGAAGAGACAATTAGGAGATGAACGAAAGAGTCATATGAATGCTATCCAAGACATTCAGTCTAACTTAAGAGTATTGATCAAATATCTGCTGCGTACCCAACCTTGGACTAAGCAATTAACCAAGTGTTTGTTTCAATACAGGTGTTCCACCTTATTCAAAGCCAGCTTTTCCAATCTGTAAATGAAAATATATTAGTATTTTGATCATCGTGTTTTAATCCCATGCACATAAAAATTCACAGCAGGGGCTCAATGCCATGCTAAGTTCTGTGTCCAATGCCGACCGAGCATGTAGCATAAGAGAGAGCATGAACCTGGGAATCAGGAGGGTCCCAGCCCCTATTCTGCTCCTTTCTTACCGTGTGAGCTTGGGTTAGACTCTCCCCACCTTTGTGTCTTAGTTTCACCATCTTAAAGTGGAGAGAAATGATCTGGATGGGCTCTCTTGTCTCTTCCACTTTGATACAATCTATGGCTCTATGGCTCCCTCCTCAGAAGTTTCTCTACAAATGCTGTTTTCTTTGCCTCAAATTGAAGCAATTTCCCTCCTAGCCTTGCAGGTAAAAATATCAAGAGAAGTGGCCAGTGGCATCAGGGACTTCTCTCCATAAGATAATTATAAGACTTTTTTTGGAGGGTAAGATATATTCCTAACACCAAGAGATAGGCCTGCAAAGAGTCTGTTTCCAGGCTCCGTGTTATTCTGTTGCCACATAATATCAGGCCAGGTGCTGGAGAAGTTAGAGAAGACACCCTGAAGTCACAATATCTGGAATCAGCGGCACCTGGATGGCTCAGTCTGTTGAGTGTCCAGCTCCTGATTTTGGTTCAGGTCATGACTCCAGGGTCGTGGGATTGAGCCTCAAGATGAGCCCCATGTCAGGCTCTGCACTCCGTGTGCTTGAGATTTTCTCTTTCTCCCTCTGCTCCTCTCCCTGCACTTTTGCTCTCTCTCTCTCTAATTTTCTTTTAATGTTTTGTTTATTTTTTGAGAGAGAGAGAGACAGAGTGAGTGGGGGAGTGGCAGAGAGAGAGAGGAAGACAGAGGATCTGAACAGGTCTCCCTGCCGACAGGCTGATAGCAGCAAACCTGATGTGGGGCTCGAACCCAAGAACCATGAGATCACGACCTGAGCCGAAGTTGGACACTCAACCGACTGAGCCACCCAAGAGCCTGTCTATCTCTCTCTCTAAAAGCAAAACAAAGCAAAACAAAACAACCCACAATGTCTGAAATCACATCCCAGCTCTGCCAGTGGTGTGCCCTGGGATGAGAAGCTCACTCTCTCTAGGTGTCATTTCTCTCAACCTCAGAATGGAGACAATGGTACATACAGCATAAGCTAAGTTTTGAGTAAATACATATATAGTGTTTAGAATAGTTTTGGCATCTAGTGAAAGCTCCTTAAATATTGTTCTACTGTTACTATTGTGCATATCATTAATCAAAGGGCTACCTCATTTAACAAAAAAGAAAATCAAGACCCAGGGAGGTGATATGAAATTATGACATTTTGATGGTCACAAGAGCAACCCCCTCGCTAATATATATATACTATATTATATACATGCATATATAATAACAATAACAGAAACTGATATTTGTGTAACATCATAGATTTGCAAGTGTCATCAGATAGGAACTCCTTTTCCTACTTTGCAAGACAAAACCCAGACCTGGAGTGATTAAGTGACTTGCCCAAGGTTGCACAAATAATTCAGAACAAAGCTGGGATATGAACCTGGATAATTTAATGCCAAAGCCTCTCCCCATTCCATTAAATTCACCCCATCCCTTGTGCCTCCCTAAACTCTTGGCACCTCAGTTCCATAAGAAAGATTCGGAAGGTTTGGAGATGAGAATGTAGCAAGGTCATTGTATGTGTCAGAGTATCTGTTCGTCTGCATATCAGTCATCCATCTTCCAGTTACTCCCAGTGGATAAGGGTGGGCAGTGAGGGGGTGCTACGCCCTGACTGGGCTTGACTTTGCAGAAGAACATGCCTCCTTTCTCTCTCCAGAGTCTTGCTGGAGTCTGCCTCCCCAAGTGCTCCTTTGAGCCCATAGGGGAACCTTGAAGTTTCCTTTGAAATTCTGAGTCCCATACCCCAAGCAGATGTGCAAGGACGTTTGCTCACTTAATGGCCTGTTCAAGACGTTTGAGGATCCACACTATCTCCCTATCAGCCTCTCTGAAACATGCATTATCCATCCGTCCTTGAAGCAGGTCCCCCGGTGCAGTGATTAAAACAGTCCTGTGTTGGATAAACCCGATGCAATTTTCCAAAAGTCATCATCTCGGCATTTCCCCCGCCACAGCAGAGCACCTCGCCTCCAATTTCTGGGCTTGCTCATTTGTTTTCCTTCAGACAATCTTGGAGACACTCTTTCGAGTGACCTCTGCTAAGGGAAGGGAACAGTACACTCTTATCCTGACATTATGCAGACGCAGTGACAAATTGGTCTATTTTTTATGCTTGACAGAAATGGGGGGGGGGAACAGGAGAAACATATTAACTCACCATATCTTTGACCACTGGTTGATAGAGTTTGGAAAAGACTTGTTTCTTCTTTCTTTTTTCTTAAGTTTCCCTCCTTATGTCTGGTCTCATTGGTTCTTCTTTTAATTAGTCCTGGAATGTGACAATACTTCCAAAGTAAGCTGCAATCTTAGTAGATTTTTGAAGGTAATGTGATCAGAACAAATTTGTCATTACTCTCTTAAACTGGCTTCTTCTTACCTTGCTCCCTACCCACTCTTAAGACGCAACTCTCCAAGTTATCTGTGATTCAAATGCTGGATTCCATTTTTCCCCACCCTCTTTTCCATTTCTTGAGTCATTAACTTTTATTGATTCTTCCTCAGAAATATATGTTTTTGTTGATCTCTCTTTGCATTTCTACTGTGTGCCCCTAGTGTGGGTCTATGAGGGGGTGACTCTCTTGCATCGGTGTTTGTATAATTTTTGTGATCTCAATCACATTATCTTGATCACTGCATATCATCTGTTGTTTTGCATTGAATTGTAATGAAGGTAAAGCATGGTCGCTCTACTCATCCTTCCTCACCCAGGTGGGTGTGGTGTTGGTTGGTGTTCTTTCCTGAAAGGTACAGTCACTCAGGGCGCCATTGTCCACCATGTTTCTCAAACCAGAAAGCAACAAAAAGAATGAGCTATAGACGATTTATCTGTTGTAGGATGTTGTATGATGAAGATTTATCTGTTGTATTCTTGATCATAGAGAGATCAAGGTGGCTGGAAGATAATTCTATGAGGTGAATTGTATGCTGGAATTGTACACTTAAAAATAGATCAGGACATAGAGGGAGAAAACAGGAAAGTGGCCAGCTAAATCATTCCTTCCTCTGGGCTGTCTTTCTTCCTTATTCCATCTACTGTTACCGGACCCATCTTTCCATACTCTCATTAACTCCTTACTCATCTCTCTCCCTACATAAGACTATGAGCTCCTCATGAAAAAAAGAATTCTGCCTTTTCTAATCAATGTACCCTTAGCCCCTAGCAGAGTTCTCAGTTTCTCTTAATAGATACTTAATACTTTTTAATTGAGTTGAATTGTGACAGCCTTTGGGATCAGAGACTTTATAACAACTTTCATTTGAAAATATCACTTTGTTGAGGTGCCTGAGTAGCTTAATCAGTTAAGCGTCCGACTCTTGATTTTGGCTCAGGTCATGATCTCACGATTCATGGCTTCAAGCCCTGTGTCAGGCTCTGGACTGACAGTGAGGACCCTGCTTGGGATTCTCTCTCTCTCTCTCTCTCTCTCTCTCTCTCTCTCTCTGTCTCAGACCCTCCCCCCATCACATGCTTGCTCTCTTTCTTGCTCTGTCTCAAAATAAATAAACTTTAAAATTAAACAGAAAATATCACTTTGTTTTTCTCCTGTGTTTATTTTCCTTTTGTTCTTGTTTGGCATTAAATTTTTTTGTGTATGTTTAATCCTAACAGGTCTAAGCTCTATCATGAAAATTGAAGAAAGGAGAACTGCCTAATACTGGTAGGCCAGGATATTAAATTGGAGAAATATATTGCTTGGAAACTATTGAATTCCAAGCAAGAGAATCCATAAAAGAAGGCGAAACTCCTAGAAAAGTGTGAGATCACTCGTTCAGAGTTTTTGCTTGTATAATCATGTTTGCGTGAAAAAAAGAAAAACTCTGATATAAACTGACATATACAAAAATGGTATTTATTATTTCACAGCATGAAATTCAAGACTTGAGAGAGATTTGAGGGTGAATAGATTCAACGTCTTCAAGAACCTGAGTTATTTCCATCTCTCTTCTCTGCTGTCTTCAAAAGATACACTTTATCCTCAGGCTCATTGTTCTAAAGTTCACGAGATTGTGGCCGACAGAAAATGGGGTGTTGTACTTCCTTATTTACATCTAGTAGGAAAACAAGATTCCTGACTTTGAAATCTATTCTTCCCTTTAGCCAACTAAGTAGGTATGGGGACCCCAAGATGAATACTAGGCATCAACAGGATGTAATACACTCACAGGCTTTTGGCTGGATTCCTGAAACCATCAATGGCAAAAAGGGAAGAATTACCGGGAATGGCTTAGACCAAAGTTTCTCAACCATTGCACTATTGACATTCTAGGACCAGATAATTCCTTGTCCTGAAAATGCTATCCTGTGTATTGAAGGAGCAGCATCCCTGGGTCACTAGATGTCAGTAGCATCCCTCCCCAGTTGTGACAAACAAAAATTTATCTCCACACGTTGCTATATGTTCCCTTGGAGATAAAGTCGCTTCCAGGTTAAGAACCACTGACTTAGACCAATTGACTTAGACTTAGACCAATTGACTAGAATATTTGAAAAACAACCACAATCTCAGCCATAATTAACCATTCCTCTTTTCACAGATTTTCTCCTGTGAGAAATAAGCCTTTGAAGCTGTATTTTTATTTTAAAATAAATGGTTCACTTAAAAGATCTGTATCATGGGATGCCCATGCACAATCTAACTGGTCTCTGATGTTTGCTTCTCAAGTCAGAGAGTAGAATCTGCAGTGGCTACCTGCCACCTAGCTCCCTACTTTTACCTAACATTAACTATGCCACTCTCTAATATGGTATCTCCTCAATATCCAAATGGGAAAGGTGCTATCTGTGGAGGGCAACCTACTTCAGGGTAGTTGATGTTACTAGAAGTGACAGACAGAGACAGAGACAAAAATAGAGATAGAGACAGAGACACAAAGAGAGAGAGAGAGACAGAAATGAGAGTGAAGTGTGGTAGCAAGCTGCGTTCTCCACACTCCTGGAATAGTTACCATTTGGTTGGCTTCCATTCTGTGGACAGGCATTGTGCTGAATGCTCACTTTGCATTATATTATTTAATTCACAATGATACGAGTAATTTATGCATGTGCGTAACAATTTTACAAGTGAGGAAACTGAAGCCAAGAGGTATTTTATGCTTGCCTAAGGTCAGAAACTCTTGCATTTGTGCAGCGAGTATGACATAGAAACACAATTTGAACCCAGTCCTCTGCCACTGTAAACTCGTTTTAGTCCAACGTCTGCCAATATCTCTGTCATTCTCCATTTATGCACTCAAACCTTCTAGGATTCTGTCTTTCATGAGGACAGGGATACTGGACACAGGAAGAAAGAGGAGTGTGTGTGGGGAGGGTCGGGGGGAGAGGCTCTGAAAGGAAAGGGAGGTTATTAGATGAAAGTCTGAATCCGCCTTACAGACTTGTCCCCACAAGGCTGCCTTCTGACTCATGTGATAAATCCTGCTCCCTCAAGTTGCTTTCTTCAGCCACAGCTGCACACAACACAGTAATCACCATCAGAGGGGTCATCTCCAAATTGCGAAGGACAGCACAGCAGAGGAAATTATAACAGATAACACACACCGCCTGTATATATCTGTCATGCAGACAAGAGCTGCATGTAGAATTCTAGTCCCATCCTCTATAGTTCTCCACTGTCTTCCATTTCCTTTGCAATTACAATGGTTTGAACCACATTTTTCAAAAGTCTCCCAACTGGTCTCTCTGCTTTTTCTCTTCCCCCCTTCAATACATTTTCCTTAATTGGATTAATTTTTTTCCCCGGAACACCTAACATTTCATTTCTCTACTGCCAAAAATGAACAAACAAACCAATAAAGAGCTATGATAAAGAGAAATCAAGTCATGATTTTTCAGTTCTTTGTGGCAACGTCCCTGGCACAGTATTCCTATCCTTCTATGATCTGGTCTGTTTAGATCTCATTGCTCTCTGTCAGCCCTACCAGATTCCACCGCACTGAGCCTCTGCATTTTACATGTTGGGACTGTGCCCCGCTGCCCTTGCCCAGGCTACTTCCTGCTTAGAAGGCTGTCTGTTAACTCTGTCCGGTTCGCCCTATTTTGGCAATCCTACTTTCTTCTCCAGCATTAATCTGAGAGGCCATTATCATTTTGGGGGGGACCAAAAGGAGGATCAAAGATGTAAGAAATAAGATCCATGTCACGAAGTTTGTAGGTTGTAGAGCAGGGGACTGAAATCCACGTCTTCTGACCTTTGAATTCCTCGTTTCGTGTCATAATAGTCACTATTTTCACCATTCAATCCAAGCCTGAATACGCATAGCCAAAACTGCGCCCAGCCCCTTTCTCCCAGCTGCCTTATCTCCAGACTTCAGCTGCTAATATCAGCACAGCCCATTTAAGAGCATTATCAACAAGCCTTCTCTCCTGCTTCCTTTGTCCTAAACTCAAAGGAACCATCTCCATGAGATTAATTCCAAAACTGCTATCGCATTTGTAGAGACGATGCCTTCTCCAGTTATATTAATTGCATATTTGGGAAACCCGCCCTGTGTCTGTTTCATATGGCACGCCATTTGGTGTTTATGACCATCATACTGGAGTTAACAGCATATGGGGAGCTCACCCACTCGGAATACTAAGCTTATCCAATCCTTCTCTCAGAACCGACATGAGAAATAACTAATAAAAATGATTATAATAATAGAGGGTCATATAAATGCCAAATGCAAAAGCTATTCTTCATTCTAAAGTTTCTTAATATCTTTTCTCCACCAGGATCATAAAAGTAGGGAGGGGGAAGACAAGATATTATACATAAATAATTAGAAGTGTTTCCTTAAGCTTTATTTCAAATCCTTCCATTAAGGGTTAAGATTCAATTTTAGGGTCAGCTGGAAGGTGAGGCAAAGTTTTAAGGATAATTGAAGTAGAAATTGTGTGGCCTTTGCAAAGACCTCTCTTTGTATTTATGCATTTTTCTCCAACCAGCAATAATAATAATATAAAAAGATACAAGAATAACACTTAACTAAATCAGATGCAGATGGCTGTTTTATCAAGCAGAGGCAATTTTTATCATTTTAAAAGCTTTTGTTTTTGTAAAGGAAAGAAAATGGGCCATGTTCCCTGGCTTTTTTTTTTAAGAGAGGAAAAAGCATATGTTTTTTAATTTGAAATGGAGTATTAATGGTGTTATCTCCCGAGAATTGCTGCGCTAGAGTGAATTGTAGAAAATGCATTTACTTGCAAGCTTTCTGGTAAATTCTTCTCTGACTTACAGAGTTAGTGGCATATTATATCAGCCTACCTTTCCAAGACTATACTGTACACACACCCCGAGAGTCAATTTCCTGAGCCTCTTTTACTAGATCATCTTGTTTCCTTTGTTTATATTATTGATTTAGGGAAAATCATTTGGTGAATATTGAGTGTTCACCTAAATGAGAAGGTGGTAATATGCGGCAAGTAGACAGAGAGGGATATAATATAACTGGGATAATAAAACCTTGTATCTGCGCTGCAATTTGTGGTTTGCATTATCCTATTTGAACCTCACGATACCTCTGAGAGTTATGGGGACAGACTATCATCCCAATTTTATAGATTGGAAGTGAGAGCATGGAGAGATTAAGTGGCCCCCTTCCTGTGTGCAGCTGGTAATTGAACCAGGACTACAACCTTCATGAGTCAATCTCATGTTCCCTCTTCTGCACAAAGTTGCCTCTCAATTAACAACCACCCCAATCATTCAGGAACATTTAGGGAGCACCTACTGTTTACTTGCATTAGAGTTGAAACAGTGACAGACATAATGGTGTTTTTAGGTACTGTCCCAGTGCACAGGTGCGTACCATTGGCTCAAAAAGCAAAAGTGAGATGTAGGAACTATTCTGTGAGTAAGATATGATAAGTACGTAAGTATGAACAATTGCAAAACCAATATTGGCTGGTAATGTGGGAGGCCTTACTTGGAAATGAGTAGAAAATTAAGGATGACATTAGCTAACACTTATGGAGCAGTTACCATGTGTCACTTGAGTTGTAACTTCTTTCATTTGTTGGGCAAATATTCTACAGTTTTTACCCAGTGAAGGTATTTTGGACACTTACAGGAAAGAAATTCTAGTTCTGCCACTTTTAATTAATGACCGGGAACATGTGACTTCACCTCTTTGGGTCTCGTTTTATTCATCTGAAAGAATGTTTAGAAAAAGTACCCAATTTTTAAGGTTTATGTAAATAGAGTGTAAAATAAAATAAAATAAATAAAATAAATAAATAAAATAAAATAAAATAAAATAAAATAAAATAAAATATTGCCAAATAATAATGGCCCTGCAATAATTTGGGGGGTTTGGTAATACAGTTATTTTCATTATTAGTACTCTGTGATAAGAGCTGGAGATACAGAAATGAATATGAAAATGCCTCTTGCCTTAAGAAACTTCACCTAGTAAGAGAGATTCCCACATCCTTCCTTCCGTCTCCCTCCCTTCCTTCCTTCCTTCCTTCCGTCCGCCTTCCTTTCTTCCTTTCTTCCTTTCTTCCTTCCTTCCTTCCTTCCTTCCTTCCTTCCTTCCTCTGTTCTTCCTTCTTTCTATATTCTTTTTCCATTTGTTATTCCTTCCTTTCTTCCTTCCCTCACTATTTACTGAGTGCCTCCTTCGTGCCAGACAAAGCACTAGGTCCTTGCTTTTTCAAGAACATATTAGGCATTGATCAAGCCCTGAAGGTGATTTCAGTATAGAGGAGAAATAATTCACAATAAAGAATTATGACAAAGGGTGCACCAAGATGCCAGGGGAACACAGTTCAGCAGCAAGAACATTTGAGAAAGTTACAGAAAGCTCCTCCCAAGATAGGAGAATTATACTGGGTCCTAAAATACAATTGGGAATTGGCCAAATAAATGAACATTTGTTACTTTACTAGGTCTGAACGGTGTTATTCTTCTAGGTGGCCGGAGCCTAGACCAACTGCATGTTTCCCGGGTTCCTACAGCCACTAATCCACCAAGCAGGATTACTCTGACTCCAAACTTCCTTCACCTAATCTAAATGTTGTTTGTTTGTTTTTTGACATCTTACACGTCAGCTTTTCTAGCTGTAAGATCACAAGAATAGTCTAGCATTTTAAGGTGATGTTTCATCTTGAATATTAAAAACTTCTGGGGTGCCTGGGTGAGTCAGTTGAGTATCCAACTCTTGATTTCAGCTCAGGTCATGATCCCAGGGTCATAGGATTGAGCCCTATGTCAGGCTCCATAGTGAGCATGGAGCCTGCTTAAGATTCTTTCTCTCTCTCTCTCTCTCCACAACCCGCCCCCCACTCTCCCCACCACTTTCTCTCTTTCTCTAAAATAAAACAAAAAAACTTTCATAGGTGGCCAGCAGGTGTCTATTTGGGGTCTCTTAACTATTTGTATCCTTTCCTTGGGGATTGCATTTTATCCCAAGGCTTCAAAGATCACTGAAAACTCCCAAATATAGGTATTCAGTCACAAACTCTCTCTAGTTTGGGAATCATCTATTAAACTCCATAAATAAACTTGAATATCTAGTAGATGTCCAAAATCAAAATGTTGATTTTTTCCCCATCAATCCCTTGTCATCCCCTAATCAATTAATGGGATCAACGTTTGCCTGGTGGCTCAGCTTAGGAATCTTCACTTCTACTTTCTGGTGCCATCTAACATCAAGTCTTACTGCCCTCCAAAATAGCCTGTACTCTAATGAAACAATGCAGATCAAGCACCACATATTTATGGCTGTTAAAACTATTAGGTAAGAAGTTAATGGGGGAACTTCATAGAGAATGAGTCAGATCAATGGTACCCTAATACACCATCAACCTTAGTGTCACTGAAGAGTGACCACTAGACCTTGTGTCCCCTGGGATGCAACAGGAAGTTCCAGTCACCATCTATTAACCTGAATGTAATCAAATCTCTAGATATAGCTTTCAAATCTTAGGAAGTACAGGGGATAGAGGAATATGTATGATGACACCATGAATATATAATCAGACAACTACAGAATGTGGGAATGTCTGTGTGACAAAAACCTTACTTTAAAAAAAGATAAAAATAATGCCAATTTTATGTAAGAGATGGAAGAGTTTTCTTTTAGTAGTAATTCAGTCAAAACCAATCTGTACTACAAAATACAGCTTGGTGGTTCCTTGCAGGGAATGAAGTGTCATGCAGTTCGAAGTTATCTGGCTCATATCTGGCTCGAAATTATCTGGCTCATATATGGGTATGCAAAATTTATTGAGCTGTACATTTAGGATTTGCATAAATTATACTTAAAAACATTTCAATTATTTTATATAAACAGGGAGAGAAAACTATTATAGATCAAGGTGGATTTAAGAGACAAATCAGCCTAATTCAATGTGCAGATCTTGTTTGGATTCTGATTTGGGGAAAATAACTTGTAAAACACACACATTTTTTTGATACAATGGGGAAATACTGAACATGGGTTAGACATTAGATGACAATAAGAACCTTGTAATGTTGTATGTGTGCTAACAGTAATATAGTAACAAAATAGCAATGAGATGGAGAAAAAGAGGAAGAAATAGTCATGATATGTTAGAGATAGTTCCTTAATTAATTGCTGGTAAACATAAGATGTGTGATATTTGCTTCATAAGATTCTAGGGCAAGAGCAAAACAAAACTATAGTTCATGAGTTAAATCCAACTTCCGCCTGTTTTTGTCATAAAGTTTTATTAGAACTCACCCATCCACATTCATTTACATGTTGTCTAAGGATATTTTGGCATTACAAGGGCAGAATTGAATAATTGTAATAGTAATTTCTGCCTTCAAGACTGAAAATATTTACTATATGGCCTTTATAGAAAAAGTTTGCCAACCCCTGCAGTAAGAAGAGAGTGAGAGAGAAAAAAAAAGGAAGGAAGGAAGGAAGGAAGGAAGGAAGGAAGGAAGGAAGGAAGGAAGGAA